TGAAATAATGTCTTGTAATCCGAAAATATTTATCCGTATTTCGTCTTTTATGTGTTTTTGTAAGAACGAAATAATATTTCATATTTACGAAATATCATTCCGTATTCACGAAATAACATTGTGTTTTACGAAATAAAATTTCATTTTTACAAAATACACTTAATGAAAATGTTATTTAGTTTTTACTAATGTATACTAATGTTAATGGATATTGGTTATACAAAGTAAATTTACACATAAACAATTTTTTGTTGTTCTTGTTGTGTTTTTCTTTTTAGTATAAATTTTGGTTTTGGTTTTGGTTTGGTATTTTGTTTGTGTTTTTATTTACTTTTTTTTTTCTGGGGCGGTAGTTCACTTTCTTTATATTTAATTGAAATTAAAATTTAACTAGTTTCATACACCTCTGTTTTTACAAGGAAGTTTATAAATATTCAACACCTGTTTTTTTGTTTTTTTTTTGTTTAAGTGGCCTGACAATAATCATACTTTTCCTTATATATATGTTGTAACAACTGTCTTGATATTAAAATAATGGTTGTTGTCTCACACGTGTCAAATTCATATGAACGTTTGTCTGTTGAAAAATTTTCCTGTTTGAATCAGCTGCCTATTATAAAGCAAATGGGTAATGAAAGGCCAACAGTCAAATATCATTATATGAACAATAAACTTCTTGAGAAATGTTTAAATATAATTTTGATCACAAACAAACTGTGACAAGGCCAGCTCATGTGTTGTTGTTGACTGGCGGTGCCAATGATACCATTGGTTCGCAATTATTATCAATGTTTTAGTATATTAGGTAACATTGGTAAAACTCTAATTGCTGCATCAATGTTTATTTTGAGGTCATTGTGCATAAAATATTTTTGCTTTACCATAATGAAATTCCTTTAACCAAATTATTAAAAATAGATATATTTTACATGTCATAATGACAATTAATGTAAACATCGGCGATTCTCGTGCACATCCATCAGCTGGGTTAAGTACATGCTTAAAATATCACAAGTACATGCTTTCAAACATAATTGACATTATCAAAAGCTGAAGTTTTATTCAAGTAGCTAATATTATAAATGCCATAATATTAATAGTAATTTATCTAACCTCACTCACATCTTTAATATCTTTTGTATGAGGAAAATACTATTGATAGACATTTAAAAAGATTAAGTATTTTTAATTTGTCTTTATACTGTTGGTCTGTCGATAACTTCAAGCCTTCGTTTAGAATTTAATTTTTTGAATTGCCATGGAAGTGAATATACTGCAAAAATCGTGAAAACCCATAAGCCTTTATTTCTTTACTACCCGAGCCCCCATCACAACCCCAACACCAACGCCCCTAACTCCGTTCTTAAATAAACATTCTCATATGGTTTCCGTATGTTTCCGTATGCTTTTACTCTTTTCGTCACTTCATTATAGCCTTTTACCTATATTCTGATTGGACACGTTTAATCACGAAGATTTGTTGGTATCAATTTCTGATAACTAGACCTCGTTTGTAACATTTTAATTTTAGTCGTAGTGCCTTTCTTTCCTTGGCTTTTAATATTCACTCTTTTTGTATGATTTAAAAAAGAAACGCATTTATTTTTGACAAATACAAGTGTCCGACATTTTGAAATGTCCTATGGTTATTTTTTAAGTGTTTCATTATGGCAAAAACGTTTTTTTCATAGTTTTAATTCATAGTACAACACCTTTTTATCAAGGACGTGTGCTACTGTTTTCATACAGTTATATAGCCAGGACGATTTTTTTCAAAGTGTTAATGGTGTGTGCGCAGGTAAAGGTCAAAATAATTTAATGGCTTTCATTTCTTTATTTGCCTTTGCAATAAATCAATTATCCGCTTGGCCCACTTGTATTTGTAAAAAATATCGTTTGGACTTTATCGGTAACGTTTACGTTTCAAAACAGACAAGCGGTCTTCTTCATTATTAAGATAGCTGTAATATTCGATCCTAATCTGTTTTCATTATCAATTATTTGTCCAATCACAACTATAATAGTCATGAAATACATTACTTATTGAACTCAATTGACAAAAACTCCCATAAATCTCATAAAGTCACTTTAACCATATAATAAAATAAAAAGAAAAAAAACAGGAAACAATAATGCTTTAAAATGGCATTTCCCTTTTTGTTGTTACAGTAAATTGCAATTAAAACTCCACCATCTCTTTTCTTTAAACATTTAAATGAGAAACGTTGCATCATCGACCTAGTTTTTGAATTATAAGCCCTTTAATTTAATCACTGCAGTCGCCTTATTCACATTTAACAGGCAGGCCTCCTTCAGTTCAATGCTGCTTTTATAAAAATTTAACAACTGTTCCATTTACATAATCATTTTTCATGTCAACAAAAAGAAGATTGTATCTACAATTTCAGAACACTTTCTATCCTAACAAATATATAAAGCATATAATATTATATGTAATGTTTAAAGATGTATTACTTGAAATTATTTAATTTTACCCATGAAATATGGTGCTTTATTTAATTTTACACATGAAATATGGTGCTATATCAGTCAAATATATTTCTTTTTTTTTTTAAATAAATATGAAATATAAATATGAAAGTGGGCGGGGTCAAAACTCATGTTTATTTTAAGGGTCTTCTTTCGCAATTTTGTTTGAAAAAATTAATAAAGATAAAACAACTTCTGTTGAGGTTTGTTTTCAAAACAAGAATGATAGAAAATGGTCTAACTAAGACAATTATAGCATAAAATCGGCTATTTTTCCCTATTTTGCCCATGTTATAACGGGACCAAAACCATGCGTTAACATAGTCACGCGCTCTTGTTATAGCCCGGTTTCACCTATGCGCAATACATACAGGGCCCAGTAAAACAAACAAAAAAGTTGACGATTTGGCCTGTTTGCCAAAGAGTCATGCGCTCTTGTTATATTGAAATTATTGATTCGAGGGCCTCAGTCGCATAAACGGCGAGCAGCATTCAAGTAATTATGCCGGCAATACGGCGTATAGACATCGCCGCTAATCTTGGTTGTCGCCCTTTCTTAGAAACGGACAGTTGTCAATGTAAACAAATAGAATCTGTCATTCAGTTTAAACTTACAAAAATGGAAAGCACAAAATGAATATGAGAAAACGTTGTTTTATTGATGTTTATATTGATAAATGTTCTGTATGTTTCTTTGAGAGAATAATGTTTTATGCCTGATTTTTTTAAACTTGCGTGCTTGAAAAAAAAAACGATTCTGAAATTGAATCTACATGTAGCTGATGTCACTGATCTTTTTTCTACCGCCAATCTGAAATCATTCTAGGAATTTCTGAGGGGCCTGTTTTGTCTTGGGTAGAGTAATGTTATGTTTTAAAATTCTTAAGTTAATATATCTCCAAAGTTAAACTTTGTTTAATCAATTAAAATTCGAAATTTCGTTCGGTTCCCAAAATGTTGGCCCCGGAAAAAATAAAACGAATACGTAAAACATGTAGAGTTGGATAAATACTGTTCAAGCACAAGGATTTAATGTTTGTGAATTGTATATAATATACATCATGAATCTGTTTTAAAATTTTATGCTATAATAGCGTCAACGCACGAATATTTCGTGCTATAAAGTCTGAACAATAACTTTAATTCAGTTATTAACGCTGTACAGACGTTTAAAGAGTTGTTTACGTGACGTCACAATGTAGCGCCAAATATAGCGTGCAAAACAAGACGCATCTATAAATAATATATTACTGCGCGCTGTACAATTGCAGCAAGCAAGGGGGTTCGTAACAATTAATGAAATTAAATAAAAGGTTATTTTTTCGTTTCTCGTGAAATATGATATATATTTTCACCCAACATGTTAAAATGCCACATATTTTCACTCGCCGTCCCAGCTCGTAATATGTGGCATTTCATCATGTTTCGTGAAAATATATTCCATATTTTACTCAAACGAAAAAAATATCCTCTTAATATTTGAAATTGCTACACAATTTCTTTGTAAAGGTCAAATTAACATGTTTTGTGTATACACAGTATGCATACATAGCGTAATTAAAAAACTGGCATTTTTTAAGAAATGGCCAACTTTTCTACTAGTAATTGGAAATGCAATTTCCAATACACAGTTTGTGCATTATATTGTTCAAATAAGACATAATTAGTAAGAATTTCATGTACTTGGATTAATTTCTGCAATAAAAATATTTTACTAAAAGATGAGCCAAGTATCTTTAAAATATGCGATCATAATGGTAGTATGGTGGTAAAACAGTATATTCAGTCAAAATATACAGAAAACATACAAATCGTTACATGGGTTGTTAATAAGAATGCATTTCGTAAAACCTGCCATGTAATTTTAACTTTAAAAAGAATATGTACACACATGTTGTGTACTGATCTTGAGGCGTGAAGCTTTTAAATTCCAATTTCAATTCTGCTTTGACTTCCTCTTTATGACAGACATTATTTCTAACTAGTCATAAGTCTAGTTGATCTTTGATTAGTTTACTTTTTTTTTCTTTCATTATGATGCAAGCTATTGTTGATATAAACTTCCTTTTTGCTCATAAGGAAAACACTTAAGAATACATTTGTCGTTTTCACTTTCAGTTTTTATATTATGACAAGATCTTTTAATGGTTTAGGTTAAATTTCACAAAATGGATTATGTTTGTGTGTTGCTAAGTTTATTTCTTATTTCACCAACAGTCGGTAATTATCGTTTATTTTTTATATTATTTTTTCTAGTTGAAAATATCTTTAAAATTTCTTTTATTTTTGTTGTTGTTGTTGTTGTTATTATTGTTGTTGTTGTTATTGTAATTCATATTTACCTCAGTCTGAGAAACACTAACACTAACTACACATAATGCAAATCGCTAATTTATTTCTATAAATGATTATAAATAAAGAATGAGAATAGAAGCGAATTAAGCGTTCACATTAGGTATACACATGTTGCTATTGTATTGTTTCTAATTACGTAATGCCATGCAGATTCCAACACATGTCCGTCCACAAACGGTGTCCTTGTCTTTGGAGATAAATGTGACTTCATGTGTCATTGTGAAAATAATGAACAATGTGACAACACTTCCGGTGAATGCTCGTCTGGCTGTGCTAAAGGCTGGTTTGGACCCGGATGTCAGTACAGTAAGTATATTTTACTACAAGAAACTTGGTAAGAATATCACATATTTGATGATAATACAAACATTTAATGCGTTCTTGGTTTTACCATTGTTTTGTTCGTTATCCTTTTTCCACCATGGACTTTTTGTCTCAAGAGATACGCAAGAGACTAAAAATTATCCTTGTTATTTCTTGTTAAAATTACACCACGAAAAGTAGAAATGGTAGAAGAACTTAAATTAATGCACATTACAAGTGTCAGGATGAATTTGATATTTTGACTCATAGTTAATAGCACAAATTAGAAATAAGAAGCCCAAGTTTCAACTTTTCACGCTTAAGTTTTGAAGACAAAATTGTCATGTAAACCTGCTGCGAGGTCGATAACTAGAAACTTCACGTCATTACTTCGAGCTGTTGAGTTATATCTTATTTATCGGTAGCACGAGCAAGTCAAATAAGAGACTTTTAACTTCGGCTCTCCCTTGTATGACTAGAGCATGCTTTTATCACGTTAATTTCGCATCCTTAATATTCGGGCAATTTTTACGGAGGAATTCATGTCAAGACACCGGTAAATGGTATGTCGGAAAAAAAGTTCTTACAAGACCGTTTCTTTTTTATCTAAATACCCTTTAAAGAAGCTAATACAGAAAACAATTTTATGTAGAACTCGTCCTAGAGGGAGATGCAGGGTTTGTTCATACTAAACGGTGTATTAGTTAATAAGTGATCGGTTAAATGGTTCCAAATATTACTCTACCGCGAAATGTTACTAATTTCACTTTGCTGCGCAAACAAACAAAAAAATGAATAACGCTTAGGCGTGTATTTTTTCCAATTTCGACTTCAGTCAGAGTTAGTCTAAAATTGTGGAGTTAAAAACTTTGTCATTTCAAAACAACATAATAGCGCATAAAGTTGAAACTAACACTTCTAACTTTTACTTTTCGCTATAAATAAGGGGTCGAAAATCAAAATTCGCCTGACATTTTGTCGTATGAAACACTTCTGACCTTGCGTGGAAAATTTATACATCGAAAATATAATACCCTTGCTTTATTTCTAGTGTTTTCGTGTTTGTCTGGTCAAACAGATGGCGTAAAAAGGATTCTGTAGTTTCGACATTCAAGGTCAAATAATATTAGTTCGTATATGGATCATAAGAAAACTTATAAAAATAAACGGGATAATTTTCTGACGACATTTGTATCAGCTTTTAAGACTTATGAAGATTTGCATTTTCTTCAAAAAAAGGCCGCGTGGAAAATGGTCAGTCCCCGTTTGTCCGTCATACATTTTTATTCAGTGTCAAAATCAACTTCAAACTTTATACCTGGTAGCTTGACAAATCTCGTTCAGGAGTTCAATGGACAAGAATAATAACCCTACACATAATAAATTTTTAAGTAAAAGCCCTTTGTTATGTTTCTTTCTTTTTTTCATCCGAAGCATCACTAGAAAAACATTTGAGTATAAAAGGTGCAGTGCACAAAATTTTTATGATTTTCAAGAAACTGCAAACTGTTTTTCTTGATTAATTTTTAGATACTTTTCATGCTAAATTATACCCGTCATTATAGTTGAGTGTTTGACCTTCGTGATTGTTAATGCTGTATTTTTTTGTTCCGAGCATACCTCAGAAAGTGTTTGGAGTATCAATTAAATTTTATAGTTTGATAGATATCATACTTACTTTTTGATCGGACCATTTCTCGTGAAATATTGTTTATAATTATCTTCCTGGATTTTCTGGGGTAGATTTCATTAAAAGGAGTACAATGCACGAAAGTAATAACTCTCCTTTTCAAAATGTTTGAGTAACTGTCCTTATTGAGTTATTGACTCTTGTTTCTTTTATGCATATTTTGTCAAGACGTAAACTCGTATAGCTTTAGATATAAATAGCTTGGAACTATTTTAGGATATGTAGCAGGTAGAAGAAATGGAGTTGACAAGAATGGCAATGCCATATTTGTAATAATTCCATATTTAATTCGAAGATTTTATGCAGGTTATAACTCAAATTTGTTAAAATAAACCAGCTTGAAACTTCATGAATAAATATGTCATATGTACCATATTCCTATTTTTTAGCATTGTTATACTGTCTCTATCAGAATATTATATTTATCTCATAAGATAATTATTGCTTAATTCATAACTATATCATATGTCTTCTAGAAGGTACAACGGAGATGGTAACATAGAGAAAAACAAAATTCCTGCCAAATTGCATTTGCATTTAAATAACTTGACAAAACTATATAAAAAAAATGATGTGCCTTGTGTTTATCTAGTTAAAAAATACTTGAACAGGCTCAATCAAATAGAGAGAAATAGAACGCCTAAAGAGCGCCGGAAATGGCAAGATTTGAAATGTTGAAGTTTCAATTGTTCATGGAGGAATTGGTAAAGACAAGCTACCGTTCACGTCCCTATATTTTAAGACCCTTCAGTTACCTTGATTTTCTTCATTTTGATCAAAACCAGTAGTTGCATCTCTGCTTCACGTAGTAAATATAAGTTTACACAAATTTAAAGATAAAATTGATTCATTGGTACACCATTCTTGAACAAAAATAACACATCCTATGCTAAATACCTTAAATCGTTTTCCGTCTGGTCCAAACCATTTAATTTTAAGAAAGAATTTAAAATATTCAGTGACATAAGGCCTATACGGATGTGCCGTCTGAGCCTGCACTGGTGGCATGGGTAGAATCTATGTTCGCCACTAGACTAAGAATTTAAGAACTACCAGAAGAAATCGACACATTCAGTTTTAGATTTACGGATTTTGTTTTAGCTTTTTGGAATCGATAAGCCATATTGAACAAGTTTGCACTATCGATATCAAATATTGTATATTTTAATATTATCCGAAAATTTGTCTGGCCGTCAAAGTGCCAAATATTTAACATTGCATTTGACAAGACAATTGTCTACATGATTAATTTCCTGCAATATCCATTTTATAAAACAGACAAAACAATTTACTTTAACTTTATTAAATGTATGAAACAGATACAAATAAACATATCTCTATCTGTTATAAAGATAACTACGCACGTGTTTTAAAGCATACAACACTATCTCTTATATACTGCATGAACACTCATTTGTATAAATCACTATGTGATTTATATTTATATAATGGGACTGATCATTTACCTTCAGATTTGTGTACCAATTGATATAGGTCTGGACCACTAACTTCTGTGACAATGTTCGATCATTTTCTTAACTTTTATATTTTTTAAGGAATTATGCTCTTGTGCGAAATGACCCAAAAATAAAAGCGTTGCAGCGCTTTTCACTCCATCCGGCTGAGAATCGCGCAAAATATCTATTGTCATTTTAAATTTGGGTTAATTTCTTTGTTTTCCTAAGTAGAGTTTGCCATTTTTGGTCGTTTATAATTTAAGAAATTTTCGAATTGTAGGTTTTATGGCATTAGGCCTCAATGTAGTTCCTTTATTTGTGTCAACAGAAAAATGTATAAATGCAATCTAACGATTTTCATTTCTCAACTGTGAAATGACTCATGAGGCTTGCCTTATGTCTAATTTTGACTTGCATTCTCATTCACCATTAATGTTAAGGTGTTAATTTTTTTTTTTTTTGGGGGGGGGGGGGCTTATCAAGACAATCGTATGTTCCACACTGTTACAGAGTCGTGTCTGAAACAAATGATAGAAGGGACAACAAATGGCATTCATATATTTTTACTATGTCAGTGTCTCAAAACTACATTTTAATTTATTAAAAGGCAATAGCTTATTAAAGAAAATGTTAAAGACGTGAAAAAAGTAGAAAATACATGTATATCATTTCGGGAAATATTGTGGTTGAAGGCCATAAAGCGCCATCGTATGTTGTATTTTAGGTCCTCAATATTATCCTTAGGCTTAATTGGTGCTTTTTACTATCAAAATAATATAATTTTATTACTATGTAAATGGTAATAAATAAAAAGCAGCATTATTTAACCTTGTCGTGAAAAGGTTTAGATGACATTTTCAATGTTTTATATGTGTGTTTCCAATTTGCATAAATTATTTGATTTTTTCTAATAATAATAGTGTATAGAAATAATACTTCGTGCTATATATTGAAACTGATTATATTGAACATTTCATCAGAACTTAAAGTACATTGATTTATCTATAGGGGATATAGCTGTGGAGGGTGCCAGTGATTCATACTCTGCAACTGACGGCGATCCAACAACTTGTTATGAGACCCAAGCAATGGACAAACCGGTCTGGAAGATTAAGTTAAATGCAATTGAGACAATAACAGAGATATATATTATAACAAAAGCCGATAAACTGCGTCAGTATATATGAATTTATTACACATTTTCATTTACAATTTTATTCTACAAAAAAAATGAAAATAAAATGAAATAGTGTAAATATTGTAAATATTTTCGATTTTTTAATGAAAATGTATGCATAATGACCATTTGATGTATCTTTTTATCATGTTTATCTGTTTGCATTCTTTATTGGTATAATATATTTGTCTCAGAATACCCATGTTGTAAATTCCTTCATGATAGACATAAATCCTATTCTTACACTGCATCATTTTTAATTTACTTCAGAATATTTCATGAATTTCGAAGTTCTTGTACGAAACACAACCACAAAAAAAAAGGAATTATGTTACAGACATACCAATATAGCTCCCAAAAGCGAAAAATTTTCTGTGCTGTGTGACAATCGCATAGTTGGAAACCAAGTAAAGATTAAGTTGACAAGATCGCAAACACAGCTTATCATATGCGACATTAAAATTAATGGGGGTAAGTTTGTTTTTCTAGTTTTAAAGAAAAATTAAACAACGAATAGCTAATGCATTTTCAAGATTTGTTAATTTCAAACTGGAAACAAAAGTAACCCCATTGAAAATAACTAAATTGACGTACATATTCTTAATACAGTTTCTGCATTCCAAGTAACGCTATCAACTAATCTTGCAGTTTTAATCCAGATTTATATGAATCGTTCCGGCGGATATTGCTTTTTAAATTAAATAAAATGATTAGATAAAATTTGAAAAAGAACGAAAATAGCACAACATTACGGATAAGAATCATACAAAATCTTGCCACAATACATATACATCGGGATCCTCAGAACAAATCCTGAGCCAATCTTCAGATTGGAAGAACATGGGTATTGCCATGTTTGTTTCAAGGCGGATATTAAAGGTATGTAGAAATGTTAACATGGCGATAAGGCAATATGTACATACAACATGTATGTATGTATCTACACGTGCATATCAAGCACTTCTTATTTTACGTTCGACTTGCCACTTGAAGGCGTCGGCCGGCATTTTGAGTGTTTTTAACCCTGTCCAAATAAGACACAGACGAGTTTATGGATTGGAGATATATAAGAGATAATCGCCGAACGCTTAGAGATAAACGTTTACAGATATACCATGCTCATTCTTGAGACAAATATTTTAATCACAGAAATTTATTGAAATCTATATAATTCTTACTGAATATGTCTATTTTGAATGATAAAAGAATGAATAAACTATGTATGGGAAGCTGCAGTCCCTCTCACAGGTCAAGTAAAGTTAGTCTTTTCTTTAAAAAAAACTGCCAGTTTTTTAATGACACTATATATTGATAGTGTGACCGGCTATAGTGGTAAGTGTTTTGAACACATCATTTCTTCTTTGTGTAAAGCCAAAACGTGTTCATTTTATATTAACAAAGAGACTGTGTAGCAATTGTCATTATTTTCTTTTATACTATTCGAGTATAGGAGTATAGAAAATCTTTAATAATCCAAAAAAATGTGTTTTGTTTTGTTTTTTGTTGTTGTTTTTTTTTCTCTGTTTGTCGGTGGGACAAAACTCCAAGATACATAGGTCAAACTATGATTACAATTGGAAATAAAGTAAAAACACGATATTAGCTAGAGATTTCTTTAGAAAACACACATACAATTTGAAAACCAACGTAGCACTTTAAAACAGCTCACTTCAAACCAATCGTCAGACATTACCAGTGCATTTAAGGAGGTCAAAACACTGCAAACCGGGCCGTGGATTCTAACCTTATTAGTTCAAAGATGGTTCTAACTTTTATGGTCATTCATTTCTTTGATTCTTTGCAGAAAGAAAAAGGTTTCATGCCTCCCAACCCCCACATTACCAACGGTAATTAGAATCTTAGAAACCCATCAAATAATGTTATTATATACAAAAATAGCACTTACCGTTTCACACAGTAGAGCAGCGGAAAAATGGCGATTAATGTACTGCAAAATCAGTAATTAATAACACTTAACATGTACATTATTACTTGAATCTTGAATATCTTCTAAAATATTTTCTCAAGTCCGTATTCTTGAAAACTTTGGCTTATCTGGAGCGTTATTGACTATATAATGCTTAAATCAATGATAAATATGGAACTATAACAATTCAATGCCTCTTTAAATCTATTATAATATTAACTAAGCATTACTAGAAATATTGCGTGAAATACTAACTATGATGGTCCTTTAACATATTTAAACAATGTTTTGAATTTGACACAGTACCGATAAGCAGTCGAACAAGGTTTAAACTAGACGGACAAGGTAATATTCTATTAATATTTCAAAGATTTTAACTGCAACAATCAAATGGCTGTTTTGTCTGATACATGAACATCACTTCCTGTCAACAAACAGCAATCAATAGGCAGCTTACTTTCCAAAATACTTTGGAAATATAATTTTTAAGTTAAAAAAAGTGGTTAATAACATAGCAAAGATGATTTCTTAATTACCATATGCCCTCCAAGGAGATGCCACTATTTCGTGAGTGACGCAGCATTTAAGTTCTAAGTGAATATCTTGCATTAAGATAATCGCCTTAACAAAATGTTTTAACAAATAAAAAAGCGATGCATTTTCAACAGCAAACAAGCAAGTATATGTTTACAGTATTTGATAAATTAATCATTAAATGATCATTAGTGCAATGGTGTTTCTTAAAACAGAAAGTGAATACGTAAAATCAGTTTTTACTGAATATATGTGAAAGGTTCTGAGAAAATAAACTTCGCCAAATAAATTTTAAAAAACGCACATTTTCGAGAAGGTAATGCTAACAATTAACCGAAGATCTTAAAAAGCACAAAGGAGATATCTGACAGATATCTGACGGTACAATCAATACATGCCTTGGAATTAGATAAAATATAGACAAATTATGTGTTGCAATTTTTAAAGATTCATGTAAGTTAATAACTCTTTACCATTTTAGCATTTCAAATGCCAATCACAGTTTGAATAAGCGATGTTACCAAATCAAATTTTTAATTTGAAATGCCACAGGCTTTACAATATCCGCACAAAAACAACTTGTGACTACAGGCAAACTTACGAAAACCAGTTTTGTCAGAGAAAATATTTACCGTTTCACGTAGATTTCTAAGGTTTATTTAACAAAAGGAGATAAATCTGCTTAATCTTAATGACATAAACTCATGATCTATCATTAATGCTTTTGCGTATAAACATTACACTTCTTCATTTCAGGTAGAAATTTAGCGTTCAAAGGTGAAGTATCACAAGTGTCGGAACATAAAGACTGTAAACGTACATGTACTGCTGAGAAAGCTGTTGATGGACATAACAATAGCCTCGCTTGGCGTGAATGTAGTTATACACCTGATGAACACAATCCTTGGTGGGAAGTAGATCTTGGTATTGACGCTCTAATTCGTAGCATTCAAGTTGTGACATATAAAGGTACTTAATTGAATATAAATTAGGTTATGTTCGATGTTTTTAGCAGATTTATGTTTTTCCAATGTTTGTTTCAATTTTAAGGAAATATCAATTAAAAAAGATACATTTGCTTAAGTTTACATTTACAAAACAAGATAGCTTTTTGTAAAAAAATCTAATGTCAGCGCTTTATACAACTCTTAAAAGTAAGGACAGAAGAAGTTTATTTTGTTATTATAAAATTTAACTTTGTAATAATGCAATAGTTTCTAGTGAATTTAGGGGTCAATATCATATTTCAAGTCAGCTGAAAGACAATGTGCAGGTATGTCTAATACTCAAACACAAGTTCAAAACATAACGTTTCATGACATATATCTAAGTTTTTGTGCTTTTAGATTTCTAATAGATAATTTTCTAATTTTTAATTTATATATATAACAAAATCTCACAGCGGAACCAAATGTGACACCAATGCTATAACTGAGATAGTCTTGGTTATAATCCACTAGACAATGTTACATCCTTGACATCAACGCTCTTGTAGTTTTGGAAGATTTTTTTTTAAATATGTTTATGGGGCAAACTCATAATACCCCTTTGTCCGGGGCCAAATTTGAACCAACGAATATAATTTGAACAATTTTTGTAGAAGTTCTTCTAGCCAATGCTTCATACTAAATATATAAGCTCTAGTCCTTTAAGTTGCGAAGAAGAATGTATTTTAGGGTTTTAATTTAAACAAAACAAGGTTTGAACATTGCCTTCTGCAAATATTTATTCTCCAGGCCTGATGGTTCTAGAAAAACATATAATTAAGTTTCTAACTATAATGTTTTTTGCCATGGTAACCAGATTGAAGCATTGATTTCTTTTTTTATAACTTTGGAACCCATTTACCATAGATGGTTTTAAATCAGACTTGAGGTTTTCAAAGAGACGAGTTTTTTAGTTGACACAAACACACAAACACACACACATGCGCGTGCGCAAACGCAAGCAGGCACACAAAACACAGAGAGAAATTGCTAGATACCAGATGATGCAGCGATGCCATAAAAATGTACTGTTTTAAATAAAATTGAATTAACTATGTCTTTCTTTTAATGACAATTATAATATGCTACATTTTTCGTACATGCAAAGAAGCATCTTCTTTCCAATGATTCCAAAATCATGAAAGTAGCCAACCGATCACCAATTTATTCACATTTAGAATAACCTTACAGGATTAACTTCATGTAAAATATGGCTGGTAAACGCTCAATTAAAAGTGCTGAAATACGGGCTTACATAAAACAATAAAAGAAAAATAGGAACATCTGCTATAAAATGTTTATAATAATATTTAAAATATATATGGCAACAGTTAAAGTTCGAGGTGGATGCATACGTTCTTAAATTGGCATTAGTTGATCAAATATGCTTGTAATTCTGGCGGACACGATCCTTAGTAACTGACAAAAGCATTCTTAAAGTCAAGCTTATTTTGGAATGCAATGATGCAAAACTTTCACTTGTCCAGATATTTCATATCGCATGGATATCAAAAGGGTCAACTAATATGAAGAATAACCTAAAAGTAAGGCAAATAACAATAAGAATTTGGCCAGTAAAAACGTTTGTAAAAATAAACTAAAGATAATTCAAAGTAAGGTCGTTTTTCTAAAGCAAATGTAGAAAGCCTACATAAATACCAGAAATATTAAGTTTCGCTAACATTGATTGTGAATTATCTGCTCTTCAATTGCGGAATTATAATGATATATTCAAGAGCAGATAATTCGAATTCATGATCTGTGACCCAGATTTCTTTTAATTTGTCTGATTAGAGTAAATGTTGATATGGATTTAAGAAAATTGAATTCAACGTCATTTTAGAGCTGATGAAACGATGAAACTAAAATCTATAAAATTATTGTAACGGTTAACTCTCTGCTTGAGGATATGGGTTTTTGTGAAAACTACATCTACTTTATCATATAAAATACTATACTGATAGTGGTTGTGGATGATGTTGTTGTTGCTACTAGTAATGCTGATGAGGTGTTTTAATGTATGTGATAGTTTTCGTCAATTCTTTCTAATCTAGAGTGTACAGAAACGTACAATATTCAACTCTGTTATACGAAATTCAAGAATTGCGGCAACAGAAAAGCTATTTAAGAAGTGTGTATCTTTAATCATTTTTGTTTCCAACCTTTAATTTTATGTGTATACTGTAAGCAATATAAGGCGATTATTTCATTAACTTAAATTTTATGGTCACACATAATAACAATAACATTGATATGACTGATATAAATGCACTGATGTTTATGTGCTTGCACAATAATTAGATTGTATTATCTTTATCAAGCTGCATCTTAGAAAACGACGATATGTTTGATGTATCCATACAAATAACAGTTTTCTGTGTCGAATACGAACCCGGATATTCACAAGTCATGCCCTTAAAGGTTTTTGTAAGAGCAAAATATTGATAATTAACCTTCGTGAAAAGTTTACTGATAAGCCAAAATATTAATTTTGAGACAAAGGTTTGTAGCTTTACAGCGAGCAATAAATTGACAATAATTAAGCAATTCAAGCAATTGAGATAAATCAAAATATATGGCAATATATTCCTATATGTCTGTAAGTATCGTAATTTAATTTTTCCTTGCTCATGTAAATGCAATGCATTAAAGTTACCTATTTTTGTGATATTTTTCATGATTGGTTTTTTTTTTTTTTTTTTTTTGTCCTTTTTGTTACTTTTTATTTTTGGGGGCGGGGAAATTATACACAATACACAACTTAGTGAAATTTTCAAAACGAAATGGGCTGCTCCCCTAGAAAAGTGTGACTAAAATGTATCAAACCTTGTGTTTTATGTCTTTACACTTGTGCATCTTAATTTTGGTTTTTTATAATATCATTTTCTCTAAGTTTAAGTGTAAACAATTACTAAAATACTCAAAGAAATCTTTTTTATAAACGTATGTGAAAAAAAAAATTAGGGTATGGAATGAAGATTACCTTGTAAATAAAGACTACTTCTTTTTAAATAAGCCTTCATTGTTTAAAAATAAATAATGACTCTAAGTAAAGTTCACTTATATTCCAACAATATAAGCTACATTTAAGAGAATCATTCTCGGTCTTGTAAATATTCATGTTTTGTTATAAAAAAAACGATTAAGATAATATTTTATCAGTATGTTGAATAAAATAATAATCGGTTTGTTCTCGTGTACGGTCGGGATACCAAACTTGTGATTGTAAAATTTAATGACGCTACTATATCTCTAGTACTATCTCATGATGAAAAAAATTATCTGCTCTACATTACTGTTCATGGGCGGTATGAAACAGCATTGTTCTTATGATTGTCTACAAAAGCCGATGTACAAAATAGCCGGTACCTTTTGATAAATAAAAGTAGTTCCACAAAATATTTTATTTCTTTACATTTGTCAAATCATGCAAAACGACAATTTTAAGTGGAATGTCTTGACGTCAAATCATGTCCAGGTCTAAACTAGCTGTTACACCAAACTGATATTCGGCCAAAACGTAATGATGTCTCAGTCAATACAAGAGTTACAAAAGCTGCCTGAAATGCCGATTTTTCTCTTCCGCGTTGTGTAATTGACAAAAAGCGTGGCTTCCTACCCGTTTGATTAGCGACTGGTTCTAAGCTATCGTAGAAAATACAGCCTAACGTTCGATAATCTTACGATAAAAAAGAAATGTGAAACACCGTCCAATTCGTACGATACTCGTAGGACGATCGTACCATAAAACGGACGTACGACCCTTGATAAGACTTTCGTAAAATGTAAACCAGAGTAGCATAACTCCTCCATCGCGAAAGAAACCTAACTCCTTCAACAAATGTATGAACAAAAATGCATCCAGGATCTTAACCTGTAAGTGCGTGCTTGGTCCACCCATACGTACCAAGGAATGTGAATCTTGGCGTTACTGATCAAGGCCTCTTATATTAGATCATTTTCATTTCTCTTTTCTAACCCTTTTCAGATAAGACACAAATTTCCATTTTTTTTTATAAATGTTTTTTTTTTATATAATTACAGATAACAAGCACAATTATGACATTGAAATAAAAAACAGTGAAAATGTTAGTTATTTTATTCGTGGTGTTCGTATAGCGCAGACAAGTGTGAACATAAGTGTTAATGCTATTGGCAGGTTTGTAAAAATGACGAAGGAATGGGGACGAATAGGAATATGCGAAATTTATGTTTATGGAGGTAAAGTACCTACATGTATTCACAGTCTCTTTTTTAAGACACTCGACATTGACATTGTTGTTCTGCATTCACTCCTAAAATGTTAATTTAAGATATTAAACGTAAATTTTAACGTTTATTCAATGGGAAAATAAGTTGACTCCTTGATGACTCTTTGATATCTGTTATATACTATTAAGTGTTTTTGATTTATTTAGATTGCCAAGAGGATACGTGCGGCTACGATTGCCAGAAATCTTGTCACTGTCGAGATGCAACTATTTGGGACAAAATATCAACAAATTGTTCCAGTGGATGCAAAGACAGGTGGAAAGGTTTTCAGTGTAACATAGGTAAGTTGACACTGTGTTTGTAAAAATGGTTACTGTTCGAAATACTACTACGAAATATTTCTTACCGCTGTGTTTATTATAAATCTATTAAAACTGTTATGAATTCAACTTCTCAGGTAAAAGGGTAATTAAATAGATATCTTGGGTTTTGATAACTTTTCATCTACATTTCTGCAACTCAATACAAATATTTGACGAAGGAATTTGGCATTGAAGAAAAATGTGTTCTTATATCTTATAAGATTTAATCAAATAAATAAATATAAATCAAATAAATAAAAAATAAGATATAAACTAACAATAAAATCTAACCTGTAATTTGTTAAAACAATATGGCTAAATGCACATTATACTTCAATATTCATGTATTGCATAAGGTCAAATGTGCGTTAAATTGTGCTTTAATAATGAAGCCAGAGAATGTTAAATGTTAAGCAATTGAAGAAAGTACAGCTTATCGTGCAATTATGTGTTTAAAAGGTTGCAATATGTAAACAAAGTAGTATTTTGACTTCTATGAAAAATTGGCAATCACTTTATTATACAAATTGCAAAAGAAGCAAAAGTTAGTTTAATACATGGCCAATGAGTATCCTTTTGAAAACTGTAAACAGATACCAAAAGTAAGAAGGCTTCTTTTTTTTCTTTTTTTTAAGCACTTTGTTGGATAAATATGCCTTTAAAGCAATATTCAATTTACAATAATACGACAGTACTGTTATTTCAAGGACTCATCACATGAACAATATTGTTTTAAAGAAAAATTATCAACTATTTATAATATACCGTTTCAGTGTTATCATATAAAAAAAATCAGACGTAAACCTACTTTTTATCTAAATTGAATTTTGGAATTAAAATTGCTCTGGTTATTTGTTTTTGTTATGTTGTTATTGTTTATTTCAATTGTCGTTAGTATATGAACAGTTTTCCTGTTTCTATTCTGAAAAAATATGATAAAAATATCGTTTTCGTTACGTCGTATATCGTTTAGGTGAAAAACGAAATATTATTAAATTCATTTTATGTTGAAAATGTTTAAATATTTAAAAAAAAAGATACTTGAATAAATATTCACTATAAATGAGCAGATACAACCACTGATTGTGAAAGTGGGAGATATGGAGAAAAATGCCCGACACAGTGTAGTAAAAACTGCAGAGGTAATCAGCATGGCTTTTGTAGAAGTTCAGACGGAAGATGTTTCGGTGGTTGTAATGCTGGATGGAAAGGAAATAAATGTGATCAAGGTATTTCATTTCTTTTTGCATAAATAAGAAAAACGAAGTATATTTACAGCGTTTTAATGTTCACCTTTGATAAATAAATGCCTTATACGAGCTATCTAGCTCCCTAGTATATCAAGAGTTGTCGGTAGGACAGCAACACTCGACTCTTCTTAGTGCTTGATAGTGAAAGAGCCTTGACAATGTAAAATGTTTTAAGTTAACACAGGGGCAAAATTTTTCTTTAAATCCATGTTAAAGTTATAGCCCTTGAAATCCTATTGTGTTCTGAAAGAAGAGTATAAGATTTCAACTTGTTTCAAAGCCAGATGTCAGTGGAACATAAAATATGTCCGAGGTGGTATACAAACTTAAATGTAAATTCTAAGTCGAAAAAGGTGCATAATTCTGTAAAATGCTTCATAGAGTTACTTCCACCTGTCTACAGGTTCATTGCATAATGGTGAATAAGTGTGCAAAGTTTCAAAGCCATATGTCAATGGACTTTTAAAATATTTGAGGTATTACAATGACTTAAACATAAGTGGTTACGTCGACGCCGACACCGACACAGACGCTCGGGTGACTACAATAGCTCTACCTATTCTTAAAGAATAGTCGAGCTAAAACTGTTTGTCAGGATTAGTTGCTAGATGACACGGCCAAGTATATGAACACGGTGTATCTTAATCACAATCATGCTTCTTTTGATATTTACATGTATATGTTAAGTAATATTGATAAATGGTAAACATAACAGTTTGCACTTTAGTGATTAAAGTAACGAAAAATATTGATAAAAAAAGGAAAACGTAAACTTCCATGCCGTGTACTTCAATATTATCAAGGTTCTTAACGTGTCAAGTGGTAAACTCGTCGGAATAGTAACCAAAGAATCGCATAGTTGCGTGAGTTCAAAACCCGACAAGGGTAAGCCGTTGTTTCTTTGGTCAATAATCTTTACAGTCATTTCTCAGAACTGTTGGGTTCTAGAAACTGGTTTATGAGTATGTCTGTAAGCTAAGATTGCAAACATATTTAACGTGTTTCTGATATCCAAATTTGGCAATTGTTGCCGTGATCTGTTTCAATGAATTATATGCTGGTGACGAGCACGTCAAATAATGAACATAATTATAATAAGATTTGATATTATAGCCAAAAACACACTGATTGATGTAGTCTTTTTGAAACTTTAATTCTAATGTGTATACCATGTCATTAAAATATCAAACAGGATCAAGTAATTCGTGTCAATAATTACTTACATATATAAACTATGTTTGTATAAATATTTTTGTTTTTCAATTAGAAGTGTGTTTATTGTTCTTCAAATATATTTATTGTTCTTCAAATATTTTTATCAAAACAAAAGTGGTATTATTTACGTGTTGTGTTAATACAGAAATATAATATCGAACTGATTAATATTATATACTTTCAAACAGTAGAAGTTTCTTTGGCAACTGTTTCAACTCTGACAAGTTAAATAGTAATGTAATTTTTCTCCAACCAATCGTTTTTTTCTAACACAGTTACTTAAATGATTGTCTCTGATTTACTTTACAAAATCTAGAAAATCTGTCAATTTTATACTACAAAGTTATACTTAATCAATATCAGTGTAGTAATTTGCAATTGCATTTTGTATAATTTATTTATTTATTTTTATTTTTATGCCCCGCCATATAATGGCTGGGGCATATAGTGTTACCCTGTTCCGTCATTCCGTCATTCTTCCGTCCTTCCGTTATTCTGTCATTTCGTCATCATCAGTTTCCGTTCATTATCTTAGTAACGGTTGCACACGTTCAACTCAAATTGGTATATGGATATGTCATGAGAAAATACAGATCAAGTTCGAATTTAGTCATGGTTCGATGATTTTTGGCAGAGTTGTGCCCCTTTTACTTTGAAAATAATATGAAATTTTCAGTTTCCTTTCATTATCACCCCAACGGTATTCCACATTCAACTCAAACTTAACATATGGATATGATAAAGGAATGCGCAGGTCAAGTTCAAATTTAGTCATGGTTCCATGATTTTTGGCAGAGTTATGCCCTTTTCACTTTGAAAACAATATGAAAATTTCTGTTACCGTTCAAACAGTATTACACATTCAACTCAAATTTTACATATGGATATGTTAAAAGAATGCGCAGGCCAAGTTTGAATTTGGTCATTGTTCAATGATTTTGGCAGAGTAATGCCCCTTTCACTTTGAAAATAATATGAAATTTTCAGTTCACATTCATTATCTCCCCAACAGTTGTACATGTTCAACAACAAATTAAAGATATGGATATGTCATAAGAATGCATTGGTCAATATTGAATTTGGTCATGGTTTGATGATAGCTGACAGAGTTATCCCTCTTGAACTTTGAAAAGAAATCATACATTTTAAGTTTCCGTTCATTATCTCCCCAATGGTTGTACACATTCAACTCAAATTTGACATATAGATAAATCTTAGGAATAAGCAGTTCAAGTTCGCATTTGGTCGTGGTTCAATGATTTTGGACAAAGTTATCTTTCTTGAATGTTGGAAATAGTTTTAAGGGCTTTGAACTTAAAATGAAAAAAATAATTTGTGCAAACAAATTTGGAACTAAATATAATAACATCTGAAATTTTGGTTGCATGCGGGGGCATCCGTGGCATGATGACACATTTCTAGTTTATTCTATTCTATTCCTTTTATTATCATTTTTTCTTTGAATTAGAATTAAATGTCACGTTCAATGGTGTAAAATGTCATGTAAAAAGGTATTGAGAATTGTACATAAAGACATAGTAGTTGATTGTAAGTCATACTATATTATAATATGTCAGTATTCAAGATTTAAGATTCTTTATCTGTTAAGTAATCTTCAACAAATAATGTTTCTTTGTACTGATGCAGTTATGAAAATAACGCATAAACATGAACACATGTTTAATAGGAACAATGACATTGATGAAAAAAGTAAAAATAGCAACTTTCTACAAGGAACATATAATACAGACGATTTCAAAAAAATTAAAGAAATTGATATGAGGTTTTCATAAATTATAACATGGAACGGCTATAAATAAGTCTAATTGTTAATAATTTTTAGCCTTACTACAAATGCTTCCCTAATACATTTACATAGTTTACGTACTTCAGAATGGTTCTTAGATTTAATTTTACTATGGAATTAACAACACTTGGTCTTAATGAAGTGTCTATATCAACTCCTTGCTCATCGGTAGAATATTTGATATGAATCTTTTTCTACTGAACTAATTGATTGATGATAAACAACTTTGTCTCTAGCATTCGTAGATGGTCTGTAATTAAATTTGTTAAAATTAATTTGATAAACCTTTTAAGGGGCCTCTAGAAAAAAAAAGAAAAAAAAGTGTTTAATCATTTTCTTCTGCTGAGCTAATTGATGGATGACAACCAAACTTTGTCTGTTGCATTTGTAGATGGTCAATTATCAAATTTGTTAAAATCAATTTCATTAACCCCCTTTTAGAGGCGTCTAGGGCTAAAAATAGAAAAACCTTTAAACATCTCTTCTCCTGAACTTATACATGGATGATCACCAAACTTTGTCTGTAGCATTCTTAGGTAGTCTTTTATCCAATTTCCTGATATTAATTTGATATTCTTCTTTTAGATAATACTTATGTTTAAGATAACAAAAAAACTTAAGTCATTTTTTTCTACTGTACTACTTGTTGAATGACCAAACTTTTGAAAAGACCTAAATACAGAATTTCTTCAACAATTAATTTTAATGCTTGTCGTAGTCAGATTGCCGAGTCAAATGATGATTATTCAAATAAACGGTGTCTCCGTGAAAATGCGGATAGTAATGCTTTAGCTACATTAAAACGTAACATTTTCAAAAGTGTTGATTCATGTATCAATTTTTATCGTGGAAGTAAACATCTTCTTCCACTTAAACCAAGACTTACTTTATGACATCTGAAAAAGGATATTCTAGATTTTCACACAAAATTTGTTTTGGTACCAGAAGACATGGCGGCTAAAAATATCATTATTGTATGACGTATCCATCACATTAGCGTTTTGCATAAGGAACTTAATAGTACTAATGCGTATTCTTTAACTACTGCTTCTGAAAAAACATTATTACGAATCATATCGCTAATATTTCAAATCTTAAAGTCCGAATCGATGAAAAAGAACTAAAACTTCCTGAACTTTATGTATTGGATTCCTATATTACATAAAAAAAACTTACAAGACCAGATTCGTTGCTAATTCTACATCTCTCACAACAAGTAAACTTTCTATTTTATTGACGTCTTGTTTAACTGAGATCACATGTAATAAGATATTGTGATACAGTCTACAAAAAACACCGGCAAACATCTATTTTGGTCTATTAAAACTTCTGGTGAAATTTTTGATTAATTAATTAAGAATTATCAAGCTTCAACTGTCAGTACATACTATTTTTTATTCTTTATACTACACTGCAACATAATTTTATTAGTGATAAACTAATTTCCCTTATTCAGAAAACCTTAGAAAAAATTATCTTTCTTGCATGTTATTCTCAATAACCTTTGTTACAAACTGTATTGTTAAACATTAAATCTATGAGGACCTGTGACAAATATTGTAGAGCACTATTTTCTTTTGGACAATATTTATGTCAGGTTTTGTACTTCACAACAGCAGGTGTCAAGTGCCGTGTGGCAGCCGTAAAAAGTTGCCCCGTACTTCACTTCAGTGTTGTTATATTTTCTGGTCCTTCGGGATCATTGATGCCAACACTATAAAGTGTTGTGAATTGAGTACCGCTCAAGCCGGTGCTAGGGGGCGTGAGGGATGTTGCACTTATTCATTATCCCTCATGTACAGACTCAATCAAACCGAGTCTGCAATTCTTATGTTATTTTGTTGTGATTAATGCTTCCGAGGGATCACTTTGTCTCCAGAATGTTGTACTTCACAACAGCAGGTGTCACGTGCCGTGTGGCAGCCGTAAAAAGTTGCCCCGTACTTCACTTCAGTGT